CACAACTCCAACCCGCCGGGCTATGTCCAAGGCCAGAAAGTCCAGCGCCTGTTCAGAAAGGTGGCAGGTCAGTAGTCAATCCATAACTCCTAGCCTCCACAGCAACAGAAACCCAAAGTCAACTGCAAGTCTCACTTCTACTGCAACCCTAACCACAACCGCCAACCTAATCGTCCAAAGTAGCTTACCACTGGCTGTTGTGGTTTAAATCAAAGTCGATATTCCGAACTCACTACCACAGTCTCAGGTTTGAACACAGATCTGCAGCAGCGGAGTTAACTACCAATGCGATCTTACTACTGCAGTCACACACACAGGGATGAACCTCCCCCCTTAGATACAAATAAGCTCACCAATCACTACACCGGCCAGGTACGTGACCCAGTACTGCCCGTTGCCCCTTTTCACACTTCCCTTCCGTTCTCTCACTCCTCTGCTACGCCCCTCGGCCTTTGTCTCAATCCTGCGTGCATGTTACTCACTGGTTCACTCGTCCGTAACTCTCCCTCAGACCCGAGTTTCTGAGCAAGCCCTCCACCCTACCTTGGTTGAGTACGTCCCCTACTGCTATTTACCTTTTCAACGTATCCGGCTCCTCATCTCGGCCAGCTTCACTCAACTTTTGCGATGCTAGATCGCTTTGGCCGAGAAGTTGTCACGTCGTGCCCCATGACCTTGATGATATGGAAGAACCTTGCCGGAGGCAATTGTGGTGACCGTGATCAGTAACGGTGAGGTCAACCACCGCCGTAACAAAGTAGACCGGAATCGGGTCAACAAGTCGCACCCGGATCTCCAAGGTGGCGCCTTCTCCTAGAAGCAAGCACGACTATCAGCGTGACTCCCGGTGAAGTCGATTATAAGTGGCAAGTTCGCCTCTCATGTTATCGCTGCCACCTCCGCCACGTGTTCTGAATGCACCTGGTCCGAGACAGGTCCAGGTTCAGCCGTCGAAGAAAACAACTCTGCGAGTGCAGCTTCAAACTATCAGTAAGTGCAGCGCCCTGCCTCCACCAGTAGTCAAGAATGGATCTCCCTCCTGAACGTGGGATGATACAGTGTTATGCTATCTCAAGCTACTTCCACCGGTAGGATGGCAAAATTACGATGAATCTTCCACCAACCGTGGAGAGGTACATTGCCATAGTACGAGTGCTCTACTCCCGTGCGCAGCTCTTGATGCCCATACCCGCTAAACCGCCATACTAATTCAAATTCCACCTCGACCAATGTTTTCGGAATGCCTCAAAACCCCCAATTAGTGTATTACTTCGGCCGATTCTGTTAGGGATCGGGCGAGATCCTTGTTGTCAGCTCCCGTCATTTTTTTTCCTCGATGCCTCCTCGTGCCTCCTGCCTCGCCTATATTGGCGCAGACTCTGCTACCGTAGCTCCGACTTCAGGCTCGCCCCACGTCGTCCACTTTCCGGGGTAGGTCTTTACTTCTCTCTCTCTCTCTCTCTCTCATACACACACGTACGCACACAGCGTGAGTACCTGGTCGCCCTTGTGGTCTGCTCCAATAGGTAGTGATGCCTACTACGATGAGTTGGGTCGGGAGTGAGAATCAACGAGCAGCGACTGAGTAGGAGGCTCAAACGACGACCACAAGGGTGAAGAAGACGGTCGCGCCCCCGCACACAGGCATAATGAGCAGCGATGCCTCCACTCTACTTTCCGGCCAACAGGCAAGTCTCCAGCCCTGTGGCTGGGCCCACGCTACTTTCATCTATAGACAAAATCGGAATGACTCTTTCACTCGGACCGGGCGGATACACCGCCAACCACCTCGACGATCTATGTCGTGATTCTGCTGATGGCGATTACGATGATGACTTGGAGCTTACCGGGCGATAGCGATGGCCTACTTCCACCGGCTAACCCCCCTTTTCGTGATTCCCCCACGCTGTCTCTCTCTCCTTTAACTCCTATCCCTCCAAAGCAACACGTGCGCCTGCTCAAGGCGACTTCAGATAGGGATAACCAGCGCGATTTCGATAGCGGGAAGCATGGCCACAGAGAATGGAAACTTCCGCCCCGTATGTGCGTGCACCTCCCGCTGCCTCTTCTCCTCGCGCTTGGTTGCCCGTTAGTGCATATACCCGCCAACCTTCCAATGCACCTGGCCTGAAGTCTCGGCCAGGTTCATTCGCCTCTTGCAGCGGCCACCCCGTTGTAAGTACGAAGGTTCAGCTTGGTCAGCAGGCAGTACCACCCATGTTCTTCCCCTCTCGTCTGCACCCAACCATTCCAGTCGTAGCGCATTGCTAGCCGTATAGCGACGACCACGTCGTGCTCTCCAACAAAACACAGAGGTCGGACTCTCCCCGATTTTATGCATATCAATCTTGTGCAAGGGCTATGCTACTCTTCTCTGTATCGTCCCAATTTTAACGGATGTCCCTAAGGACTGTGCCACAGACGAGGGCCGGAGGCATCAGTTCCGAGCTCACCAGACTTGGTGATCTGGGCAACTCCCGAATTTTTGTCTCTACGAATCGTGCCCTTTCTCCTGGACCAAGTTCGGGTCTATATTTTCAACAGTTCAGTGGTGTATCCACTGAACTAGGTACTTGGGTGACGGTCGGATCTGGCACCACTGTCGGACCACGTTCAAGAACTGGGACAAAAATAAGAAATAGGAAAAATGGAAATAAAAATAACAATATGAAAAACTTAGGAAAAAAAAAAAAAAAATGGAATACGGGAGGGGACCGTTGGTACTTCGTCCTCGGTCCGCCCCCTCGGGCCCGCGGTCGGACTCCGTAGCAAAAACTAAGGGGGATAGTCCCGCGGAACCCTCAACCCCTCAATTCACTCCGCAGCGCTCCTTCGCTGCTCCGCTGCTCGCTGCTGGCCTCGACCCCGAGATCGGCCTGGTGGAAGTTCAATGACGTAACCTATAGGGCTAAGCCCAAGCCTGAGTTGGCTGTGTGTTTCCCGACATGTGAATAGCAAGACCGGCCAACCCGGGTTTGCAAACGGTGCCCCAGGCCGTTTTCTAACTTACGGCCTGTGTTCACGGCCTCGTAGTGCCGCACTTGGCTGTCTCGAGGGCAAGGCTCCGCTTGGCCTACCCCACGTGCCCGCTCCACCATGGTATGGCTGCGGGCCGAGCCTCTCATAGCCCGCCACGAACGCCTTTTTACTGCCCTTCCGCCGAAGAAACCCCGACCGTTGCTCTAGTTTGTGCCATCCTTACTCGGCTTCGGCGGCGGCTCCTACTATCGACGGTGCATGGTCAACCTAGTGCTCGCGAAATTTCATGCGGTGCGACCCTGAAACGTCGGTCCCCAGTAAGTTAGACAACAACCTCCTCTAGTTACAACCTTACCTGATCAACGCGACGCTGCCTGTAACTTCGCCCGTGCGTGCGAGGCTGCGACCGCCTCAGACATTCTAGCCTGGCACTTACTTGTCCTACCGGCGTCTCATAGTCTTCCTTGATCAATCGCTTGGTTCGGTTAACGCGTGCCCGCAAAGTGCATGCTCACACACTCTTTAATCAACACAAATGGGACGCGCCCCTAGATATTGCCAAAAACGTTCTTCCTGTAAGCTGCAAAAATGCGCCCAAATACCCTTGTAAGGGTATTCGGACTGACAGTTTTCCGGACCTTATTAAATGACGTCCCCGTCGCGTCGGACGATCAAAACTACAAATACAACCACATTTGCTTACGAGGAAGTAACCATTCCGACTCATCGGCTCGACTCCATTCGAGGTGTTCTTATCAATCTGCTCCCGTCACGACGTTCCTCTGTCAGGGTTTCAACCTCGGTCTCCCACGTCCTGGCCTCGGAGTTAGGGGATACTTTGTTCCGTACTACAGTGTACTACCCGCTCCTAGGTAGTAGGTTGATAGTCCCCTCCCTTAGTCGTAGACATCTGCCGGTTCACCGTTGGGTGTCCTATTTAGTCATCGTCCCGCGTACGGGGTCATAACTTAGCACGCGGGCCCTAACCGAGACCTCTCAAAATACGGGGCACCTTTTGTCCCCTATTGGTAATGCTTACCATCTCAAATATCCAATTATAATAAACAACCATCCCGGAGTCTAACACATGCGGATTCAGGTCTCCATCTTGGCCCACCATGGAACGGTCGATCACGCCGAATCCACGGCCCACCGCGTTGTTATGTAGCGATGGTGCCCTCATTGGTTACTCAACGATAAGCACTTCTTCCTATCTTGGCACCCCAAAGGGTTCCGACTCTCGACTCAATCGACCCCAATGACCTTCCCTCTAGCTAAACCTCTCCGGGCGGCCGACCCTTCAAGACTTAACCTTTGGTAAGCCATGGTCTCGCTGCCAGGTTGCGCCGACCAGCGGCCCTCGCTGGGAGTTAGGTTCCACAGTTCCAGCGATGCTAAGTATAGCTCCTTAGCTAGGTCTCATGAAATATGTCCCTGAGACTGACTCTATTGTGGTCTGGCGCTTCCTTTCAAAACCCTTTCGACATAAACAAAGGATTTCATACCAACTGCCCATGGGACTACGTGGAGGGATAGTGCCTTTCTCAATCATTCCAACCGATTCCTCAGTAATTCCACAGGGTCGTGCCTCCCTTACTTCGATCAAGAGTAGGCAAGGTCACACGTCTCTTAGGGACATCTCTCAAAATATTTTCCAGAGTTCCATCATAATTGCCAGAAATTTCCATCAATTATTCTCACAAAATATTTGACGTTCCTCGTTAGACTTACATACACATAAAAAATCATCATCATTATAGCAACTCCTTTGAGTGCTCTCACAAATTTCATCCTTTTAAGAAAGTTCAATCGGTCATTGGGCTTTCCTCTCTCTTTTCTAAATCGTATAGAAGACACAACTTTGGTTGTGACCCTTCCATTCATCACCATTCCATCTTAGCAACACGCTTTATGTCATCTCTTTCTCAAAAATCTAAGAGCACTCTCTCTCATTATACTTTGGGCTCCACTTGTCATTGAGACAGGGATGCGCAAGTATAATGGAAGAAAGCGCAGATCAGTTCACTTCATAACATTCATTTCACCACACCATCATCCATATGGGCAAGTCCACAAACTGAGAGTGAGTGTGACACACCATACACACGAAAAAGACAAGGTTTGAGACTCACATATGCATACAGAATACGGGGTCCTGCAATGAGCAAGGACTCCGTCCTTATCAAAAGAAATCAAATATCGTACAAAGAGTTCAAGTATCCAACAAGAAATCACAGTATCCAACAAAGAATTAAGGTATCCAAATGTCAAGGTATCAGAAATCGTCAGCCACTCCATACTCATGAGCGTTACTCTACTCTAGCTGATGAGGGAACCATAACTTTACACAAGGGTATTATAAGAACACTCCGCACCACACTAGTGAAAGAGAGAAAAATAGTCAGAATCATGCACAGTGTTATCTCATGTACAAAAAAATCCATAGGTCTATTATGCGAAAGTAGACATCCCACTACTGGCTCAGCTCGCTGATGTACATGGGTCTGATCCAATCCTCCATGTATCCCTCTATATGCACGTGACCATCAGTCAGAGAGTCAGGGATGTTTTGCATAGACTTAAACCTTTTTCGGTCCTTATTAAAAGAATCTTACTCCTGATCACTCATGCTCTCCTGCAGTTGCCTATACAACTGCGCCCTCACCCCATCACGAGTTTTGGGCACCAGAAATCCATTTTTATCTGTCCACACTCTAGATGACTCTCTGATGGCCAAACCATTTGCCTCGTCCTTGAGGCTCTTAGGGCAGTCGTCAGATCGATGCTTGCCCTTCTTGCAGTAGAAGCATTTGCCAATCTTATTCTGGGACATCTTGTCTCCTTCCTGCGAGGGTGCTGATGACGGGGCTTCAGTGGCCTTACTCGTGACCTTCTGCTGCGGAACCTCTGGGGAAGTGGGGCAGGTCGCTCTGTCATCTGCTCGCATCACCTGCTCGTCGCCACGTACCCCTAGCCCCGAACCAGTGGCCCAAGATCCCAATGCGTCCTGCAGACTGGCAACCAGAGGCATATCCTGAGGTATAGCCGATTCCTGACATCCCTTCAAATCCTTCCTTGACTCAGCCTCAACCATGGTCTGACCCACGCTCTCCTGACCCTTTGGCTGTCCCATGGTCTCTCCCTGAGCTGTAGGCGGAACCACTTCAACTCCTATGGCCTCAGCTGGTGGCCTCGCTTGTGGCATCACTGACTCCTGTCCAAGTGTCAGGCCAACCAACATCCTCCACTCAAACCCTCCGACCTCCGAGTCCTTCTCAGCAAGTGCCCCTAGCGGCGCCAACATCTCTTTGTCTATCAGGGGAATCTCCTCGCCCTCCTGTTGGTCCGCCTTCTCTTCTTCCTTCTGGCATTTGAAGGCCTCTTCTGCAGGCCGCTCCCTGATCTCAAACCCTTGGACCTCTGTCCAATCCACTACTGCAGTTGGAGCCTGCCGTGCATACTTGGTCTCGAGGTCTTGCATCCTCTTCTCTCATTCTGCCTCCTTTGCTTGGAAGGAGACCTACTTTGCCTGTAGGTAGGCCCTCGGGACGTCATTGACTTTATTAAGGGTCTGGTTGACCTGCCTGATGGCCTCGTTTTCTGCCCAGATCTTCACCATGTCTGCTTTCACTGCCTCCATCTCTTTGCTCTGTCTTTCTGACTCCTCCTTCATGTCTTCAACTTTTCTTTCCCATTCTACCCTCTGGCCATACGCTTTTTGTGCCACTTTTGTCAGTCTCTCCCCAACCTTCTGATCCGACACTCTGGCTACTGCGAAGCCTTCCTTCATCATGCCCCTTAGGTTGAGTAGGTCTGTAGAGACCAGCTTGACCCCCATCTCCTGATGATGCCCTCCGGACCTCCCTGCAGGGTCCATCAGCCTGTCAAAGCTGACCCAAACCTCAGAAATCCTGAGTGCGAGTGCCCTTACCACTTTTGTCATCCACCTCCTCAGGCTCTTTCCCTTGATGCATCCTCTCATGCAGCTCTGCAAGGTTCTTCATTCTGAGCTGAACCTTGATCTCTTGCTCCCTTGCTGCTCTCTCTTTCCTGTCCAGTTCCTTCTCCTGGGCAGACTGCTCCTCCCTTCGTTCCTGTATATGTGGCTCATGAGGCTCGTCTGGTTCTATGTCTGGCATAGGACAATCCACCTCCCTCTGAGCAGGTTGTGGAGGCACCCCTGGACCATTTGACCCTCCTACTCTCTCTTGCCTATGGGATTTGTGCTCCTTCCTCCTGTCCTCCCTCTGAGTCCCTAATGACATGCCTCGCTCAAAGGTTCTCCTCTCCTCTGCTTCTGGCTCCCTCCTTCTCTTTTTCAGACTCCTCCTTCCACCTGCCTGACGTGCTGGCGCATAGTAGTTCCAAAGCAGTTTCTTGCAGTGTCCCCAATTCATGGCCGGTGCTACAATAGATCTGACAAAGGACCTGATATGTCGCCTCACATATAGGAGGAAGCTCCCCATCCTCTACTCTCCTGGAATATCAAGCTCATCCGCATATCGGTCATAGGCCCATAGGAACTCCCCCAGATTATTGGAGTCAAACCGAATGGACTGTCCATCTTTCCCCACTGGCGACAGGTGCAAACCCTCCATCTTCCTCTCAAAATCCTGCCAGGTTAGGGATTCCCTGACAAGGTTGGCAATGTGGTCTGCCCACTCGCCTGTGCCTCTCACCTCTCTCAGCATCTTGGTGCCATCCCATCCAAACTCCCGAGCATGTCTTTCGAACTCAATCAGGAACAACTCAATGTTCCCTCCCTGGAATACCGGAGGCCTATCCTCTCTCCTGGTGCCCATCTGCATCCTCTGTCTGGTCGCCCCCAGAGGGGTTTCCACTGGCTCTGCCCCTCCCCTCCCTCTTGGCATGGCTGCCCCAAGCGGTGTCAAGCCTGCACAACAAGGAGGAGACAAACAGGAGTACACAGAGGGTAAGCATGTTGGACAAACATAACAGGAGACAGACATAGCCTTCCCACAACTATCCCATCTATCTGCCTATCTACATATGCATACATACAAACACGAGTCTAACCAAAAAGTCACAACCTGTCACGCTATTCTACTGAGAACAATATCCTATACATTCTACTTATACTAATGTTTCTATATAAGGTACTTAAAGGATGATTCTAACCGGTGAGGTCCATGCTCACCTCGTCTCCAGCAACAAACTTCTTTAGCCTTGAGCCTGACACCCAGTCTCTCCACGCCGCCTCATTCAACTCCTCAATCTGGTAGACTCCATGCTCACCATATCTGGTGACCCTGTATGGTCCCAACCACCTCTTGTCCAACTTCCGCGACCATTGCTTCTCCAGGGATGAGTCGTACAGCAACACAATGTCTCCCGTCTTAAGAGGTTCCTTCCTTACTCTTGCCATCTTATACCACCTGAACTTGTCCTTGGTACGACTGTCAACCGTCCTACTGGCGACTTCCTCAATTTTGTCCTCTACAGCGCCAATCCGACGTGCCCTTGAATCAAGCAGTTCTTCAAACGTCAGATTAGTCTCGAGGTCCTGCCGTCTCCAGGTCTTTAGGAAGTTTTTGATAGGAAACGCTGCATGTCTGCCATACCATAGAGTGGCCGGTGCGTAGCCGGTGCTTCTTCTGACGGTGATGTTATCCACTAAGAAAGCAACCCTTAGAAAATTCGGCCACTGATTGGGTCTGCCATCGGTCCACTTGGCGAGAAGATTCGTGATGGTGCTATGCCCTCTTTCCACCGGTGCATTAGCTTGGGGGTGCGCCGCAGTAATGTACTCGGCGATTACCCCATACCTCTTCAAAAGAGGAGAGCGTTTGCCGCTCCGGCCGAGTGCGTCAACTGTAACTCTTGCGAGCCCCTACGACAGGATAGAGTCACACGAGGCACCGCTTACCTCCACCTCCGGGAGCTGTCACCATTCCTTAGGTGGGCGTATCCCCGCCGAGCTACTGAACCACATGTGAAGGTTTTTCGTATGCAATTGCAGAGGTGACCCAGCCAAGGGCGTTTCTCGTTCGTTGTAGCATAGGGGTTGCGCGCGGTCGAACGCCTAAAGATCGAACCCGCACGCGAATCGACGCACCGGGGGGGCTGAGGTCCCAAACGCGATTCGGCGTCGGTCGACTAAGACGCATCACACACACCACGCGTTACATCACGACACCCACATCCATAAACACACGACGCAACAACACGACAACACTACAACACAGCAACACTCCTAGTCCCTTTGGTATCCGACCCGTAACTTCATGCCACGAGAATCGGATAGGTATCACGCGCTGGACTTTCGTATAAGAGTCATGCGAGCGCATGACTTCCTCATATCGACCAGCCATGGGGGCATTCACAAGCATTCGCGTTGATGGGGTACTACGCGGTGCTCGTAACTGCGCAGCCCTTGGTAATCTCGAGGGTCGTGTTCGACACTCAAGTGTCAGCTAACAAGCGCGTTGAGAGGTTACCCTCTCGACGCTTGACAATCGTCATGCGTGGTTGAAGACCATACCCTGTCCTGCACCCTATGCAGAGGGGTTGAGTAGTCAAGGGGTTTGACTTTGACGGCTACCACGGACTACAACGTCCACCCATGAAAACCTAAAAGAGGAAACAACTGCAGATAGAAAAGGAGGATCGCCCCCTTTCCTCTCCCTGCCTAGCCCATAGTCTGATAGCCGTCTCCAATGGAAGGGGTAGGCCAACACGAAAGATGCGTGCGGATGATGCCCAAAATCACACCCATAGGCAACCCGATGTTCGAGACGTTGGAGGCTCGTACGCGCATCCCCATAGGCCGACTAGGACTGATACCTTGCTCCTGTGTCGTTTCTCGCTGCCGAAACTCGGGCCTGCTGGCCATAGCGCGCTTTTGCCCTCTCCGCTTGACCCATAACCTTTGAGTGCGGAAATCGGCAGGCGCTGCGTACGAGGGTTAGTATAAAATCCTTGCGGACGCAGGACCTGCACATACCGACCAACAATGCGGACTAGCGTAAGCAGTCGTGATGTCGGTGCATCAAGTAGTGCCCATACCCGAGTGGCCTCGTTTGAGCCATGGGGTCGTTTTCGATGCTCAGGCGTCGGCTGAAATGCGCTCTAAGGGGGGTAAACCTTTAGCGAGCGCAAGACCGGCCTGAGGGCCTTACCATCTTCTGCACCCCGAGGTGTCCCAAAGGGTGCGGGGTGAGATGGTCCCTAGGGAAGGAAGGGATTCGGAGCGGTGGTGAGTTGTCTGGCGCATCACCAGCGACACGCTAATCCTTCCGCCCAGAACTTTATCGTTCCACCAAAATAATCTACAACGAGGAAAAAGGAAAAGGAGTACTTGACATTGGCAGGGGAAGACATGAACGCCCTGCCGGACCGAGTTGCTGGGGGACAGCCCCTCATCCTCGCGGCGCTTCTATTTCCCCGGGGCAGCGTCGTGTGAGCAAGTACACCAGCCCCCGTGCGAGGGGTAACCCCATCTGCGCTGAGCCTAGGACCTTAGACGTCTTGGGCAAGGACCTCGAATTCCAGGCTAGGGGCTAATGTCCGGCCAAATAAAATAATTGAGTAAGGAAAAACGCAAGTGTGCGGTCGCATAGCCCTGTGAGGGTTACCCGAGCGTTCGCCTACTCTGACTATCACGTTATCAGGATGAGAACAAAAAACAATCTCACTCAAATAAAAGGTTGTGGGGTAGTTCACTCTCACGACAGTTGTGTGGTTTGCCCATCTGAATCTAAAACATAATCATTTCACATGACTCAATCGAGACTCTTTCATACACACCTGCAATCATACGCACAACATTCAAAGAACATCACACACGCTACAGGGGTCAATTTTCCCACCTTCTGCAGCTCACACCCTGCCTTATGCGCACAAGCCCAACCGTTTCCCCACCATTCCTCAAAAAAATACTCACTCTTTAAGAAATGACCATTTATAAAGAACCTAGGTGAAAACCCAAAGAAAACACATAAATCCTGGCAAGGGCCAAGGCCTTGGGTTTAGAGGCAGAAGAGATAGGAAGGTTGAGTCGTAAACCGAGGAATCGGCAACCAACCTGTTATCAGTGATAACAGAAATGTGATCCTTTTGAAGGATCAAGCTGATCAAATCAAGCCTTCAGGCGAAATACGGAAACCTGCATCACAGTACAGGCCAAAAAAGAACAACTACTATGTTCATGCCAGAAAAGGAGAACACTCTCTAAGTCGTAGTCTAGCTCCTCTACTAGCCTTACTGTCAATTCTCCTCACTGGTACCAAGTCGTTGTGTATCTCCCCTATTCAGCGTAGATCTGCTAAGTAGCCGCTAGCTGAAAAATATTTTAACTCCTTAAATTCTGTAAAATTTCGGCATCGCTTCCCGTAGGAAAAGTGCCTTTTCATAATTTTTACGAGCCCAAAAATGACTAACTCTTTCAGATTTGCATAAATTTCGGCAGCTCTTCCCGAAGGAACAGGAGGCTGTCAAGATTTATACAAGGCTGAAGGACAGAAAGACAAAGCAAGCTATACTTGGGACTATCTTCTGACACGTGCTTGATGATTCAGAATC